CAGGAACCGGAACCGGAACCGAACCAAAATAACCGGTTCGGTTATTACACAATTATTTATAGGAACCAAAAAGGAACTGAACCGTGTTATAACGGTTCGGTTTTTCCGGTTCTTTGGGTAACCGACTTGTGAAAAAAAAACCGAAAATAACTAGTTTTGAGTTAATAACCGACCAAAAAAATGCAACTCATGTGCTAAATGTATCATGAAAAACCGAGAACCGAAATGAAAAATGAGGAACCGAATATTATATACCAAGAACCGGAACTGATTTATATATAAAAACATATAAAACATGTATATTTCATATATATAGTCAGTTTTTCGGTTAATACACAAACATTTGGAGAGGAACCGAAAATTCATTTCTTTTATAATTCTCCTCACCAAAATTCAATTACCATTTTTTATTTCTCTGTATTTGGAGACGGTAACTGTTGTATGGTTACGAGATAATGTTTAAACCATTAAATTTGAATGGTTATAAGTATTTGAATAGTAAATTATATTACTTTGTAGAATGATTTATTTTTTATATATAATGAACAAAGCTTAAGAAAAAATAATATTGACAAATATTAATGGGCTATGTGTAGATATCCCTAATCCCTAATTCAACTTCCTTTTCAATTCCTACACTAAATTTTTTTCTTTCCCCTCATGTTGTATAAAGACAATTTTGTCCCGGTACCTACATTTTAACTAATGAGTACCAACTTTCCTTCATAACCGTACCTGTTTTCTTTAAAAGTGTCTATAAATTGTAAACTCTTGTGAAGTACATAGTCTCTTTATTTCTAGTACTTAAAATTATTCTACTGAGTACCAGGGCACCATAAAATGGTATTAGAGCCTAGGTTTTCTTAAGAACTCTTAGAAGAATTTATTACATGGTAATTGAATTTTGGTGAGGAGAATTATAAAAGAATGGATACAGAAAATTGTTCAAAATGTATACATTATCTAAGATATCTTCAAATTTTGAAGATGTGTGAACAAGAACACCAACAAATAGTTGTCCTTTGGGATTACCGTTATGTTGAACAAGTTATGGCAGGAGTTAATAGAATTAAAACTAAATTTTGCAAAAAAAAAAAGAAGTATCATATGGATGCCCTCTGGGTAAACCAATTGTTACAAACAGATTTATTAAATCATCAAGAAATAGCTCATCAAAATCACAGTCACCAATGAGCTATAATAGTTTAACCTGGAAAGAAGTTATTCAAGACTCATCTAAATTTTCTGAAGATATTCGCGAAATACAAAAGACGGTACAAAGCTGTGGTGAAAAACAATTTCTTGTACCAAACAGGATTCAACAGATGCTAACCAAAATTGAAGAGCTAATGAAGAGTCAAAAGGATACATTGAAAATCCTTATTGACATTCAAAAGCGAGTTAAAACTCCAGAAGATAGGCCCAGTTCTTCCGGAGGATGAAGAAAAGTAACTTTCGGAATAGTACCCCTATTACACCAAAAGGGTAAACCAACTGAAGTTCGAAGGCCTATGACAGAGGACGAAAAGATGAGAGCCATCTTAAAAGGAAAATTCACTAACAAATAATGGAAAGAGTGAATTTGGAGGATGTACATGACCTTGCATAATTCTTTGCGGGACTGGGTCTAGTAGACTTAAAAATGAATACGGGAGATGGTTCAACAATAATAACTAGATCCAAACCTCTTTCTAGAGGAGAAAGTTCGGGTTCTCACCAACCTAAGGAACAACATATGCCCCATCAAGGGGATTTTCATGTTCGGGAAGAAAGCGGGCATCCGGCTGGTACCCGAATGCATTCCCGAAGGCCTAACCTTCAAAATACCCCTTATGAGAAATCACAACTAGATCCAATTCATCCATATGGATTAATGTTGAATCTAGATACTTTAGATTTTAAAAATCAAGAGATCATTATCGATGATTGGGCCTCTGCACTGAGAATTGCTGGAGGAACATTGGATCTTAATAAAGAAGGGTTCATTTTATTTCTCGTAATGAGCCTAGAAGGTTCAGTTAAAATTGCATAGGATATGGCTTTTCCAGACGTAAAAGGAGATGTCATAGCTGGAGAATCATTAAAAGGAATAGTCGATAATATGGCTAGAGTATTTAAGATCTTATTTATCGGCACATGATGTTTTGAAGGAGTAGAGGAAGAAAAACAAAAGAGATATAAGCAAGCCCTCTATTGTTTAGAATTACATGACATTTGTCATGTAGATGAATATATCAAGTTATTCATGGAGTATAGATGAAAGACCAAGGTGGCAGATTCCGAAGCCTCCCAATTGTTCTTTGCAAAGATACCCAGTCCATGGAGAGAAATGCTAATAAAAGAATATAAGATGAACGAAGTAGATACGGTGGCTAGAAGGATGTTATTTCTCAAGGCCAAACTATCTGAGTGGTGCCATCAGGCGGCACTACACAAAAATTATAGAAGACTTAGAGGAATCAACAAATCAGTTCCTCTATGTTGTGAAGAAAATGACATTCCAACAATTATTGAGAGTCATCCACGGAGAAACAAATGGAGAAAGCATAATAGAGATGCTCACACCCGTGGATACAAAAAGAATAGGTATTCATGGAGACCTAGACAATATTGGTCAAAACAAAAGGCCCGGAATTATAAATCTGGACAAAGACCAATACCAAGTCGCAGCAGGGCCTCTTCTTCAGGCTCCAATCAAAGAAGTACAAGTAGAAGAACTTTCAGAAGAACTCAAACACGAGCCAGTGAAAGTTTTAAAGACTGTAATTGTTTGACTTGCGGAGCAAGAGGTCATATATCAACCGATTGCCCGAATAATAAAAGACAATAAATAAAACAGTTCGAAGCCACTCCAGAATTTGATGATGTTGTCTATTATCAAGATTTGGTACAAGTGTATCAATTTAAGGATATCCCCTCAGAAGAAAGCATCTACTCTGAAAATGGAAGTGAATCCAATTCAAAATCAGAGTAAAGAAGAGTTCCTTCAACAAGTAGTAAGAGAAGACATGTCGGGATTCCTTTCCCATACGATAGTGTCTAACGAAACTCTTATGAAGATTATGAAGGAAGATCCAAAGCTCCAAATGTATGATGGATTTACTATTGGGTCAATAGAAAAGGTTATGGATAAAATAGGTTTAAGAAGTAGAAACCACCATATTATCCGTAGAGTCTCAATAGGAGAGTTTTTTTTATTCCAATGGAATATACGGGGAATGAAATAGAGATGCAACTCATTCTCTAAAAAGAAATTCAGGATATTAAAGGAAGGCTCAAAAGAGAGGTGGCTAATACACTTTCATGGATCCACATTGGAGCCATTAGAGTAGTCATCAAGTCAACCTTTAAAGAAGGAATAGATTCGCCTCTTAATCTGGTGATATTTGATAAAAGGATTTTTGACCTTAAAGACTCATGTCTTGGAGGAATTACGGGAAATTTGTATGCAAGAAAATTGGCATTCAATGTCTATCCAAGAATTGCATACAATTTAGGAGATCGTGATTTTAACAAAGTTCTTACCCTACATCAAGATTTTAAAAGAACAGAGTTAATGAAAGAAGGGAATAGAACCTATTCCATTACCTACAAGAGTTCTTATGCTTTATCAAACACTCATCATTCTGAGGTATTTCTAAGGAAGGAATTCATTGAAGTTCCCAGAATATTTGAGGATTTTGCAAAAGCGGTATTACCGGATATTATTGGAAATCCGACAATTGAAGAAATTGATATGAGGATCCAAGATAAACCTGTTTTTAACCGGTCTAAAGGCCTCACTTACATGATTGAGCCCAGGAGAATGTCTTTCCAGCAAGATAGAGCTATTAGCCGTAACCGCTGGGAAGAACAACGAACGAGTATATATACAAGAACTCCAGATGTATTTAAAACAACTGAGAAATTAGATGTCCTGAAGGATGGAGGTCAGTAGAAACAAGGTTCGATATCACACAAAAGAATAATCTATTTCACTGTGATGCCTTATATTACCTCCAACAACCTATAATAGGACAATATGAAGGTATCCTAAAGATCGGAGAAATTGAAACGATGATCACAGGAGGAGCAGAAAGGATCCCGAAACAACTTGTTCTAGGATTAGAATTTCTTGAAAATCATAAACCATGGGAAAAGTTACAAGATGGAATGGAGTTTACAGTAAATAGACGAAGATATAGAACTTAGATGACAACTAGTCCATTCTCTATTTATATTTCAATTGGAATATTATATGAATCATATAGGTCAGAATACTTTGCAGCCTATATTGATTCTGGAGCAGGTATTTTCACAACAAAACCTAGAGTATTTCCGAAAGAAATAGGAGAGGACCTAACCCCTATAGCAGGAAGAGATTTCTCTAAAAGGCTTCTTATCCTTAAAAGAGGAATTTAACAAGCAGAAATCATGATTGGCAGAGCCGGTGGTAATCCTTGGTATAAGGTAAAAACACCACCAATCTATTTTCGTGATACATGAGCAGATGTTTTATTAGGAAATAATTTCCTACAAACTTTCAAAAGATTTACTCAATAAAATGAGACAAGAAGACTTATTTTTACAACTCTATGTGAACATAAGATAGTCGTCCAAAGGTTAAGAGAGGCATTTTATAAAAAAAAAATGCCTATCACATTTCGCCGCAAGCGTGGTGATGAAGGAAAACTTCGACACCCAAAATGAATGATAAAAGAAAATATGGAGGAGCAATCCTTCAGTTAAGAATCAAAAGTTAAGGAGGCTACGAGGAGGAAAGAATAAAATCAGAAACCATTCAATTCCTCAAGGAAAGTCTAGACGAGAAGTTACAACCAGAAGTAACTCTCGAAGAGCAAATCTCACTAGAAGATATCAATAGAAAAATCCAGAGGAATTTCAATGAAGACCCTTTAGCTTGGTGGGATAAAAATGAACTCAAGGCATCCTTAAAGGTTAAAGCAGGAAAAAAACATGAATTTGTGAGATACAAGCCCATCCTTATGAATCAAGTTGATCGTGAGGATATGCAAATAATACTTAAGGAACACTTGGACCTTAAGTTAATTAAAGAAGGAGTTTCTCCATATAGTAGTCCTGGATTCCTTGTTCGAAATCATGGAGAAATAAAAAGAGGAAAAGCAAGGTTGGTTATTAATTATATAGGTATTAATAACATCTTAGAATTTGATGGATATTACATTCCGAGCAGAGAACACTTGGTGAATTGTATCAAGAACGCCAAGGTATTTTCAAAGTTCGACTGTAAATCAAGATTCTACCAAATCAAGATGGAGGCAGAAAGTAAGAAGTTTCCAACTTTCTCTACACCACAAGGGCATTACGTATGGAATGTGATGCCAATAGGATTAGCAAATGCACCCCAGATTTATCAAAGAAAGATGGATAATCATTCTAAAGATTATTTTAGTTTTATGTTCGTATATATTGATGGTATTCTAATCGCCTCAAAGAACATGAAGGAGCATCTAAAACACCTGGAAATATTTTCAGATGTTTGCCACATGGAAGGATTGGTGGTTTCAGAAAAGAAGGCAGTAATCGCTACAAGACAAATTGAATTCCTTGGAATCAAGATTGATGAATCGGGAATCATTTTGCAAAACCATATTGTTGAAAAAATACAAGGATTCCCAGATGTCCTCAAAGATAAAAAAAAACAATTACAAAGCTTTCTTGGAGTAGTTAATTTTGCAGGAATGTTCATAAACAATCTGTAACAATACCGAAAGATTTTCAGTCCACTCCTGAAGAAAGATGCAGATTTTAGATGGACAAACAGACACGAGGAAGAAATTAAACAGTTAAAGAAAGTTTGCCAAAAACTTCCAAAGCTGACAATTCCAAATGATGAGGATGAGCTAGTTCTTTATACAGATGCTAGCGATCATTGGTGGGCAGTGGTTCTCACCAAAACCACTCCGAATGAAGAAGTTCCATGTTGATATTGCAGCGGACTCTTTACAACCAGTGAAGCAAACCGATGGCATATTAACGAAAAGAAATTCTTTACGGTCAGAAAGGCATTCAAAAAATGGCCTTCGTTTTTTTTATAAAAAAGTTCACATTAAAAATTGATAACTCAAGTGTTAAAGCTTTTCTTAAAAACAAAATTGAATCAAAACCAGAAAAGTCTAGATTATTACGATGGCAAGGTGAATGTCAATATTATGATTATGATATTGTCATTATTAAATCTCTTGAAAATGTTCTTGAAGATTTCTTGACAAGAGATGGATGTATCTGAAGCAGATGCACTCCTCAAAAGGATAAGACACCTTCGCAGAAACATCGAAGAGGTGGACAAAAGTTAGGCCAGTTAAGGCTTAATGCCATAATAGCTAGACAAGTTCAAAAGTCCGACTTAGATAAGGTCGAATCAGCAATCAAAGGTCTAAGGATGGCTAACACCTTATTATGGGATGCCTTCCAAGAACCTTTACGCAAAGCTGGATCACCATTGGTGAGCCATAAAGAATTCCGAGAGCAAGAGGTTTCAAAGAAAACTCAAAACGAGTACAAAGAACCTGTACCTGGTGTAGCGGACGCTGCTTGCGAAAGTATTTCTGCAGATTGTGGAGAAAAAGAGAAAGAGACACAAGACCAAATGTCTAAAGTCTCGAGTCAACCCAACACCTCTGGGGTAAAAGAGGAAGAGATCAACCTACGGCCACAGACAAGTCGAGAAAAGGTTGATACTAACAAAAACATTGGTTCTCCTACTTCTTTTCAGGTTTACAATTCACTGATGGATGACTTAATAACGAAAAGAAATATTAAGTTAGAAAAGTTTATTGCTGACAATATTGGTTTATATCCCCGAGTTTGGGTACTGAAGGAGCTCGACCAGACCCTGTAAGAAAATGGATGGACTTTGGCGCAATTGCTTCAATTTTTACTAAGGCGCTGAATTTTCCTGAGATTTCAAGATTACCCGAGTGGATTACTAAAGCCATATATGAATCTTGGTCTTATAATCCTCATCTAGAAAGAGGAGAAGTTTTGGTTTATCTTTATTGCTCCAAAACCTGCAAGTGATTATGGAAGGCATGCCGCCTTTCATTTCATTAAGTGTTGGTGTGTCTTTCCGAAATAGAAAAGGTAAAATATCCGTTTAAAATATTTCAAAATTCACCGAACGGATCATTTTTACTTAATTCCTTGACTGGAAGCACCTCCAAGTTTGCAAACGACTTGTTCGAGAATAAAAGAAAATTCTTATGGGAAAACAAGTTGGCAGCCACAGAGAATACACGAAGAAAGGCATGTAACATGTTGGACGGTCTTAGATGGCATGAAAATATCTGTCCATGTTGTGCAATTCAAGAGAAACCACTGTTCGAAAAGTTATTTTCGATGAAACGGGAAAGACCCGGCCAGAAAGACAAACCGGAGAAAGTGAATTCCAAAAAACCGAAATTTCAAAATTTCAAAAGAAGACGAGTCTGATTAAGCTTTATCAGACAGGGAGGCCCACCAGCAAATTAATGGCAGGACAAAGGAAAAGGAAAGATTCCTTCACCAAAAGTAAATACAAGCTTTTCCGAGTCAGATCCATATACACCATGTGATCGACACAGGAAAGTGGGTTCAATAATTCTTCAGCAGCCGGACCCATCAACATGTGATGACAACAAGGCATTTACCTACCGGTTGGTACAAGCAATAATGGAGGACTCCAAGACCTCTATAAATACGAGATTTGGAGGAAACAGAAGGCATCAAACATCCTCTTCTGTTTTCTCATTAAAATAAAATTCTCTGTAATATTAGTGTGTGAGCTTGAGTGTTCTTTAATTTTCTTTGTAACTTTTATGTGTGTACGAGTGTTTGTCTCTATTATGAGAGGCTAGAAAGTGTTCTCCTCCCTTAAGGAGATCACTTATGTAATAAAATCACTTTGAGTTCTTAATAAAAAAAAGGCTTTTGCTTCAGAACATGTTGTCGTAATTCTACTTAATTTCCATAATCGAGTCCTTGTACGCCTGGAGTAGGATACGAACAAAGGCTGTGCTGAGTGGTTTCTGAAGGAGTTGGATAACTTGTTGTTCATCTTCCCAGATTGGGTGAAGTTAGACGATTGTCGTCTACAAAACAAACTAGGGGCACTGATCTTCCAACTAGTGGCGGTGCAACCCATCTCACCCGGAGCCATATTGGTCAAATAAAGGTATGAGATTATGAAATTATTTAATTTTACGGAAGCATGTTGGGCCTGGTATTAATCAATTTCGAATAGGTACTCTTTAGAATGAAATTGAAATTTGATACTCGTACACCAAGTATCCAGAGATGCACGTAAATAGAACAAGCAGACAGTAAAGAAGATTCAACCAGTTGCGGAAGCAGTTTTCACTGAGAATTGAACCTTCAGGAGAACGTCCCACTTTTTCTTCAGATCTCTTTCATTAATGTGAATAACACAAAGATTATTCAAGGGTTTACAGTATAGACTCCCTCTACACTCTACTTAAATAATGATCCACACAACTACTTATCTGACCACAACTCCCTTGTGGATTTTCTAGTTCAAATCCCT